ATAACATAGTAAGTCCAAAAAGAAAAATATGGCAAAGTAAAAACACATTTACACCTGAAATATATTTATACAAGAAAATAAGAACACAGATATTTCTAAAAGATATCTTTACAGAAAATTAACAACACAGTTACTCCTGTAATATAATATTTTTTTGGAATGAATTTCGTCATCAAGAAATAATGATAAGCAAACTCTTTAGGTATTTGTTACTTTCCATTCACTTTACACAATTTTTTGTTTATTTTCTAATGAAGTTATTTTTGAAAATATTCCAACTATGCATAAGACAAGAAAAAATGTTAAATTGCATTCAGCTTTTTCCTTCTTCTTCTGAAGCTACCTTAACAGGGAATAATTTGATAGAAAGCGTCTTAATAAGAAATGTGTGTTTGTGGGTCCTTTCTGAATCGAATCATCCTTATTGGTAGTTCTTGTGTGTAAACAGTCTAACATTACAAATCAAGTAGTTGAATTTAAAAAAAACCTTGTTTTGACAATTACTAAAAGCTAGGTAAAAGTTACTTCGAAATATACTGCTGAAACGTTTAAAAATAAACAATGTTAACTTTGTTAGTAAAAATTGTGGTTTATCTAATTTTTACGAAGTGTTTGAAATGTTGATGTTAAGCACAAAAGGCTATCGCTGCTCTTTTCACCACGAGTATCGAAACCCGGTTTATAATAGTACGAGTGCGCAGACATACCACAGTACCACTGGGTGGTTTATATATTTGAAAAGACAGACTAAATATGGAAACCGTTACCTCGGCTAGACGGTTCGGTTAGTGTAATCTATTAATGGCAGTGCTCTATGTATGGAAACCGTTACCTCGGCTAAACGGTTCGGTTAGTGTAATCTATTAATGGCAGTGCTCTATGCATTAATAGATTACACTAACCGAACCGTCTAGCCGAGTTAACGGTTTCCATAACAGTGCTCTATATGTAGAAACCCTTACCTCGGCTAAACGGTTCGGTTACTGTAATCTATTAATGGCAGTGCTTTATATATGGAAACCGTTATCTCGGCTAGACGGTTCGGTATCTCTATGAGTGTATAAAAGAACTTGAGAATGTTAGAAACAAAGGATTGTTCATTGTTATACAACATGCAGTTACAGTTTGTGATCAAATGGCGACTAAAAAACAATTCAACATCGTTGGAAAAGCTAGTAAAGAAAAATAAATGAGAATTAAAGATTCTCTGATAATAAACAGATAAGCCGGAACTGAATAAGACGGATAGTTTAACTAACAAACCGCCTAGTGTATTACACTGGACTTTATATTTGTTGTTATAAAGTTGTTTTTATTATGCCAATGTAGTATACATTTTTATCATTATGCAATATTTTTTATTAGTATCATACCCTCTACATTACTTTTATTATTATATTTTAAGTAATTTTAAAATTAATTACACAGCTAAAGTTTTTGCAATTTATCTACAAAAACAAGATTAAATACAATTATTAAATAGGTCTATTAGGTTGTATAGTGTCTAGTAGCAAAAAAAAATCTATTCAGAATAAAACTTTTAACCAATAACTTTGTATGTTCTGCTTATATATATGTTAGCAGATAATCTGTTTTCAAAATTAGTTTCCTTTATTATACCGAAGTCAACGACGATAAATTTCAGAAGTCATGAGAACACATATACGGACAGAAAAAAATATGCATGTTGAATATTAATTCTATTATAAGCGACCTTCTCAATTTCTAGAGAGCTGCAAATGTATTTTCACCCAAATGTATAATGCTATTTAAAGCAGACAAAGAATCACTTGGATACAAGCAAATCTTTTCTTATCTTTCAAAGATAAGCAACAAATGAAATGCGTTTCTTCACGATATTGGTTGAGTAAAAATTTGGTGAATTTGTTAGCACTAACTTCTCAACTGAAATATATGTATATGTATCTTGATAATAGAGTTAGCACAAAGTGTAATAAACTTAAAATAAGGCCAAAAACTCGAGCGCCTTCGAATAGTTCACTATTCTTCTTCAGGAGAACAAAGGGTGACCTTTAGCCTGCGCAATGGAATATATAGTAGGACGTGTGACGTCATGTAAACCGGAAGTCCCAGTTAGTCTCCCGGAAGGGAGAATTCGTTTGTAGAGAGAAAAAAATATATTATTAATTTTAATTATGTATGCAACTTTTGACTGATAGAGAAAAATAAAATACATAGGAAGATGAGAGCTAGAGAAAATAATAATGTAAATTGATATCTGAAATAATAATGTAGAGAAATAGAAGCATGAATAAAAAGTGTGAATAATAATAAAACTTTACAAGCTTAATTAGAAGTTATTTGGAATTTTTTTAAAGGCGCTCGAAGGTCAACAACCCCGGATCGAGATTGATGTCATATATATATAGTAGGGGGGGGGATGAGTACGTTATATTCAAATGATTTTAAATATCCAATTCAGCATTTCACGTGACCCAACACAGCTGACATAAAGTCATGGTAGAACAGCATAATATCTAAACTGCATCATTACACTGTTTGGCGTGTCGTAGATAATGTGATGCTACTGAAAACTGATCGCTTTTTGGAATAGTATGTATTATCACTTTCTGTCGCAAAATATTCTTATCTTCAGATCATTAAGATGAGTTCACATATTAAGATTTAAAATTTCCAAGACGAGAATATCCATTATACTTGCTGACATTGGAAAATAAAGAAATATGAATCAACTTATACCACCAACACCATCCAGAATGAGACATGCAATAATTCGTATCCCAGACATGATAAGCAAATGCAACATCTTATATAACATTTAGAAATCCTCATAACAAAGGACAATGGTTAAAACCGTCCACGTGTTCCAGGCAACAGTAAACATAATCCAGAAGGACCTTCATCTGTATACATGTATACAACTGTATACAAGTTGTTTCTACGACATTCGAGAAGTTCAAGAATGAAACGGGTATTCATGCTATACCATACGAAGGCATACCAGTCAAGTCTTCTACAGATTTTTTTCGATTAGATTGCTTAAACTCGCATTGGGATGCATTCGTCCTCCTACACAAAATGGATTATGGAAAGCAACAGCGACTACTTGAGTGTTTTTGACGTAACAACTTTACGACAGTGCCCTTTTTAATGAGATTACACAGCAGGGATATTGTCAAGATGTACGGCCGTCAGACAGAGCACGACCGGACGTGGCGACATGAATTGTAACGAGTTGGTAAGTCTCCAAAATCGTTTTAGTATAATGTACTCAACTACTGCAATTTTAAAATATACACGAGCGTGCCAGGCTATCTTACTAAAATTATAATTTCTATTATTACAAAATATCATGCATACAATATTTCTCACAACACAGGCATATTGTTAATAATTCATCTAAATTCAGTTCCCTTAATATTTGATTAATTGAGACTAAATATGCTCTTTCACGAAATGTCAAGGGTTGTTATCGCATCACTTCTTCCAAGCTCTGTAAAACATTTCCTTGTAGATAGATAGATATTTATCTAATGTTGAATTCATCCGTTTTTTTTTTGGCTGAGCTTCGTAACAAATAGGTTCTACTTTTAAGTAGTCATTGTCTTCAGTTTAAAGTTTAAAGGAAATTTGATCTTCTGTGGAGAAAAAAAGGGGTAAGATAAATGATCTGTTTTTGTGATTGACGAAAGACTTTGGTTTGAAAACTTCATCAAATTCTGTCCATTTTCATGAAAGTGGGAGTAGATTTGGTTTTCAGGTTGAAGTTCCAATGTAACAAGTTCTACTGTGTTTGAAAAAAGGAATTTCTGCTAAAGAAAAGGATTGCTCTGTAGCAACTGCTGGTGATGAGTGGCTTCGATTTAAGAATCTTGTCCTTATCCCACCAGATGCAGGAAAATAGGAAACGAACAATTAATCAATTTCGATTTAAAGTTGAAGCTCAAAAGAAACAAGTTTTACTGTGTTTGAAAAAGAAGGAATTTCTCCTGAAGTAGCGTATTATTCTGTAGTAACTACTAATGAGGAATGACTTCAATTTAAGACTATCTTCCTTATCAGACCAGTTTCAGGAGATTATGAGTTGGACACTTCGAAGTCGGTTTGGTTTTCTGGTTGAGTTTCAAAAGAAACAAGGTCTGCTGTAGAATAAAAATCGTCTTCTGACGAAAACATGGGTTGTTCTGTGGTCGTCGCTAGGGACGAATGGCTTCGGTTTAGAGATATTCCCATCATCCGACCAGGTGCAGAAGAATAGGTAGACGTTTTGGAAGAGGTGTGACTTTCAGGACAAGGCTCTGTAAAAGAAGTACTTTCTGACGAAAAAATGGATTGTTCTTTGATAGTCTCTAATAATGACTGACTTCGATTTAGAAATTTCCCCACCATCCGACCAGTTGCAGAAGAATAGGTAGACGCTTTGGAGGAAGTTTGATTTGAAGGATGAGGTTTTGTAAAAGAAGGAGTTTCTGCTGAAGTAGCGTATTGTTCTGTAGGAACCGCTAGTGATGAATGACTTCGATTTAAGAATTCTTCCCTCATCCGAACAGTTGTAGGAGAATAGGAAGTGGACACTTTGTAGTCGACTTGGTTTTTAGGTTGAGGTTCAGAAGATACAAAATCTACTATAGAATCAAAATTATCTTCTGTCGAAAACATGGGTTGTTCTGTTGTCGTCGCTAGGGATGAATAGTTTCGATTTAGCGATATCTCCATCATTAGACCTGTTACAGAAGAGTAGGTAGACGCTTTGGAGTCTGTATTATTTTCATGATAAGGTTCTGTAAAAGAAAAAATTTCTGGGGAAAAAAGAGGTTGTTCTGTGGTAGCTGCTGATGATGAATGACTTCGATTTAAAATCTTCACAATTTTTCTAGCAGTTGCAGAAGAATAGGAAGACACTTTTGAATTGAAGTGTTTTTTTGGTTGAAGCTTATAAGTAGTAAATTCTTGGGTGGAAGACATAGATGGCGCTCTTTCTTCTACAGGAATTGTGTCAGCTGTTGATGATTGACTCCGATTTAAAAACTTTACTAGCTTCTTCACAGTTCCAGAAGGATAGGAAGTAGATGCTTTCAAGTTGGCGTGATTAGCAGATTGCGCTTCACAAGAAACAAATGATGAATGAGCTTGATTTAAAATATTCCCCACCAACCGGGCGTTTGCAGAAGAATAAAAAGGAGATACTTTTCTAATGTTATCTTTTTCCAGGCAAGGATTAAATGACACAAGTCCTATCTCAGAATACAAATTATTATTTTCTGTTGAAGAAAGAGGTTGTACTGGGGTAGTTGGTAATGACGAATCATTTTGATTTAAAAATCTTGCCATCATCCGGGCAGTGGCAGTAGAATAGGATGGAGGTGGTGTATATTTTGGTGGAGGATCTTCCTCGTAGGCTGAGTTGTTCATTCCTGATGTTAAGGTATCGTTAATAAAATCATCTGAAGTGATGTTTACTAAGGTAAATACAGGACAACACCACGATTGGGCTATCTGTAAAAGAATACGAGAAAGAAAATCTATATGATTGTGATTATTGTGTCTCACAGAAAGTATTCTTCCAGTTGATGATTTCTTTTATTATCAGTAAACAAGAACTTGTCTAATACCCATTGTTGATAATCCCTAACTGACACATCTATAAACTTCTCTCCAGACATTATATCTTATAGTATTGAAAGTACTGTACTAAAATTAAGATTTCGGTTTATATAATACAAATAGTTCTCTACTTCTATGTGGAATTACATTATGGAATAACATGCGAGAAGAAAACCAAAAGATAAATAATAGCATTTATTCATGTAGAATTCATAATGAATGTTTAAAATTGATGTTTGAGCTACTAGTCAGCGTTCAGAATGATTGTTATTATGTTCAGTTTTGACTAAACTCTAAGAATAATTGTTGTTGAAGAGTTGTTAATTAGCATTCAAAATATTTGTATGTGTGTAGAGAATAGTTGTTAGTGAAAATTAAGAATTAACTTGTTTCTTTTCATTCTAGAGATTTTTTTGAAACACTTTGCCATAAACGTTTATACTTATTGTTCTTTCTTATTCATTATCCAAGTGTCGGTGAGGGAAATTACAGCACAAATCTTGTCTTATACCTTCAAACGCATCCAAGTGTCGGTGAGGGAAATTACAGTACAAATCTTGTCTTATATCTTCAAACGCATCCAAGTGTCGGTGAGGGAAATTACAGCACAAATCTTGTCTTATATCGTCAAACGCATCCAAATGTCGGTGAGGGAAATTACAGCACAAATCTTGTCTTATATCTTCAAACGCATCCAAGTGTCGGTGAGGGAAATTACAGCACAAATCTTGTCTTATATCGTCAAACGCATCCAAGTGTCGGTGAGGGAAATTACAGCACAAATCTTGTCTTATATCTTTAAACGCATCCAAGTGTC